GCTGCGCCGGGGGCTTGGCAGGGGCCTGGATTTTTGGGGCTGGGCAGGGGCCAAGTTCCTCGGGGCTGGGCAGGGGGCTCGGCCGGTCCGGGTTCAGTAGGGACCCTGCTGTGCAGGGCCAGGCCACCGCGTGGCCCCTGCTTTGTCTTCTTAAACTGGTTTATAATATGTACAACTCGTTTACAATGATTTTTAACACCCATTGGCGTTCATTGCATTTTAAAAATGAACTCTTCAATTAGTCACATAAATTACAAACAGGAACAAGCAAGTTGATTTCCTCAAATCAAGTGAACTTGCACCAGAATATTTATTGCAATTGTAAAAAAACGTTTAATAATATCTAAATAGAAACAAATGCAAAAATTACAGGAAGTATAATTGTACCACTACCAGCAATATACAAAAATGTCATTAATATCCATATAATCCTGAACTCCACAACTAATACTTTCATTGTACCCATTAACATGGTTTTCTTACTATTTTTTTCAAGAAGTTCACCAGTTAAAATGATACTGACAAGGCATTTAAAAGCTTTTTACATGTACTGTTAAATTTCAACATTTTATTACCAAAAAAGAAATCATGAAAAGGCATCCTTTTTATTTTTATTGTTCTCCTTTATTTTTGCCTCTGAAGTAGGGGCAGTGGGTTGTTCGGTTAAAAATATAAATCTCAAGGCATTTTTTTTGCTGCTGCAACCGTAAAGATGTCTAAATTAAATGGTGCAGACTGTATAATGTCTCTAGTTTGGTTTTCTGGAATGAATTTATCATGAGTCAATCACATAATAAAATAAATCAACCATTTTTGGCAATATGAATTTGATTATATCTGCACCAAGCAGCTCAATAACGAGTATGTGTAATGTTTTGGCTGTAGTGGCAACCCATGACATACCAGTAAATGTATACTACAGAAATTATATGACAGGCCACATCCTCTTAAATTATGGGATTTTATGGTTGCCAATGAAAAAGTTAGTTCTCGGGTTTGGAGCCCATAATAGGGTCGGTCGGAAATAAGAACCAAAGAAATAAAAAGTGATGCCCCAAAAACCAAGAAACAATAGTAAGAGAATATTAACTGAAATTTGTCTAATTAATTTCTTGGTAAAACATGAGGAACACAGTAAACAGCAAAACTAATGATCAAAGGTGATCAAAAACTCGGATATTACATTTCAAAAATCAATTAAGTTAAATTTGGCAAACCAATCAGCCTCTGTACTGATGACGTCACACTTTGTTTACGTGTGCACTTTTCTATAGGACTACGAAACTGTCATCCCACAGGCTCCCATTAGAAACCACACAAGTAAACACAGTTTAACGTCACCAATACAGAGGCTATATTGATTAGGGTAATTTGCACACATTCAAAAATGAAACCGCAAAACTATTATGAAATATTCTTTTTGATTACAGGTTCAAGCACCCTGTGAAATCATTGCACCTAGAATGGTGTCATATTTGAGAAAAGAGGATGATGGTTCAGACCTGAACAAGAAAAATAAAAACCTTTTTTTTAACTGCCCCAAATTCACTGAAATGCGTTCATTGTGTGCGCAATCAGTCTGACTTCGAATGAAAATTATTTTCCTGAGTGACAAACTGGGAATCATAGGATAAGAGGGTGCAGGTCAACATGTACACTGGTATTTCCATAAATAAGGGTGCCAATGCATGACTTTGTACATTTATATTTTCTGCACTCTTTGCAGTTTCAGTATGTGGTAATGTTGTCCTCTTCACTCAAAACATGAATTGTACAAATCAGATTTATCTTACATAATCATACATAAACAACATTGTTTCACGTGGAACGGGTACACTAAATTTGGTGTCCCCATTACTAATGATCACTATTTTGTGCAATACATCAATCTGAAAACATCCTATTATGGAAAATAATAAGTGTAATTATGAAATGTATTGAATTAAGAAATTTTCAAAGATAGCCAACAGATATGGCACAAAAAGATGTTATTGGGAGGACACCATGGTGTCCCCTGTTACATGCAAAACTAGCAACTTATTTAAGCCTGCTTTATACAATATATTAATTTTATGAAGTTTTTAATGAAAACCAACAGAAATATGACACAAATAAGTTACCCTATTACATGGTAAACCTTGTTTTTCGTCAATTAAGAAGAAACGTTGTGTCCATGCAACAAGGTGGTATCTCCTAAAATAGCGTTCACGTGAAACATGAGTTTTAGAATGTCAAAAGGTTGTATCTTGTAACCTAGATGTACACATTAACTCAATAGACGTCAAGATATGATGCTGTTGCACGGAGCGTATTCACGCAAGTACTTTAGAGAGGAGTTAAGACCTTGTTGCACTGACGCGACGAAAGCCAAGTAAAAAAATGAAATATTTATGTTTAAAGTAACCAAACTTGTCAACCAGACCTACAAATTTAAACTGCAAAGGTTTAATAAAATATTTTGCATCAAAACATAACAATGTCACACTTTGGGCCTCTTTTATGGGATGACCCACATATAGACCTCAGGCTTTCAGCCCCAATATGCTAAAGGATTGTGCAAATTGTGATAAAGCATGAAACTAAACATGAAGAACATTTTCAGATATAGAGGCATGTCATATTTGACATCTGGTGACCTTTGAGAGGTCAATGAACTGTACATACACTATTCATATATATTTTTTTCTTCAAAACTCCACTTTCTTATGACCCAAGGCTGTCATAGGTCTTCATACAACGAATGTAATGGTCAGATGTGGGAACAATTCATATCTGACCTCTGGTGACCTTTGAGAGGTCAATACCCTTTGTAAACCTGTTTATAGCTATTTGTAAAATGTATTCTTTAAACCGCATCATTTTTTATGATTCATGTCTAAATGAAAGGGGTCCATGCTATAAAGAGAATTTTCATACATAGGCTATTTTATATTCAACCTCTGGTGACCTTAAAAGAGGTTATGACCTTTGCAAAACCATAGCTTACCTATGGATATTAATAAGATTTATACAATTGTAAATGCCACTATTTTCTTAGCGTGGGAGACTTGAACAACTTCAAGAAGTTAAAAAAAAAATAGTGGTAAGAAAATTTGTTGACGTTGACATATATATTATTGTAAGCATCAATCGTTATTAAGTAGGTTTGGCAAAACTACTTAATCATAGCTGGAGACAAGACAAATGGGCACAACTTTAGGGTATAATAGTAGTCATTTTGGTTCGTTACTGTATCCTCATAATTATTCAGTCACCTATAAGCTTTAGAAAATGTTTTGGAAGTAAGGATGTACTTTTCAAAAAATAAGAAATAAATGTTACATTTATGGCCAAATATGGGAATAAATATATATCACACAGCAGGTGTGAACGATTTATGCAAATTATTTTGGGCATATTTCCACCACTTGGATTTTTAGGACTTTTAAAACAGAATGGAGCTTACAGAAATGCATTGTGGTGAAAAAAAAAACAAGTTGCAACTTGTAAAAATCGAAGTATTATGCCTGGACTAGTATGTCCCCCCCAAAAAATTTTTTGAGAAGTGATTGATGCCCTTGCATCAGAGCAAGGGAAGTGGAATGAATAAACAACTGCTTGTAATCAGTCTGTTTCAAAAAATAACTCTATAGAAACATCCGACAAGGTTTGGGTATGTACATCAAATGCATACATTAAGGTTCAGTAGGATCATTTGCTTTTTGTGATTTTTTTTCTTTGAAGCAACCAATTTATTAACATGTTAGGAAGGGTGTGTAACAACTAAATTCTCAAAATGTCATGTCAGTGGATACTATAATATGTATGTTTTGAGAATGGAATAAAATTAAACACAAAATTTGATTCCAATATTGCACTTTAAAAGTGTGCCCATAGGCACACATTTTAAAAAAAAAAATGCCCATGGGCACACATTTTATAAAAGTGTGCCCATGGGCAAACACTCTACAAAAGTGTGCCCATGGGCACATACTTTTAAGAAAGCCAGCCCATGGGCACTCACTTTAAAAAAAGGGCGCCCATGGGCACACACTTTTAAAATATTACAATTTTTTTAAACAACATATTTGATTCCAATATTGCACTTAAAAAGTGTATCCATGGGCACACACTTAAAAAAAAAGTACACCCATGGGCACACACTTTAAAAAATTACAATTTTTTAAACAACATATTTGATCCCAATATTACACTTAAAAGTGTGCCCATGGGCACACACAAAACTGTGCCCATGGGCACACACTTAAAAAAAAAAAGCAAGCCCATGGGCACACACTTTGATAAAGTTTTTTTTTCAACACAATATTTGATTCCAATATTGCACTTAAAAAGTGTGCCCATGGGCACACACTTTGAAAAAGTGTGCCCGTGGGCACACACTTTAAAAAAAAGTGTGTCCACGGGCACACACTTTACAAAAGTGTGCCCATGGGCACACACTTTACAAAAGTGTGTCCATGGGCACACACTTTACAAAAGTGTGCCCATGGGCACACACTTTACAAAAGTGTGTCCACGGGCACACACTTTACAAAAGTGTGTCCACGGGCACACACTTTACAAAAGTGTGCCCATGGGCACACATTTTAAAAAGTGTGCCCATGCAATGCCCCATGGGCACACATTTTTGATAAAAAAGGAAGTCCATGGGCACACACTTTAAAAATAATTGTGCACATGGCATAGAGCTATATTAAATTACTAGAGCGCTAATTCGATGTACAAAGTAATGCCTGATGGGCGCACCCATGTTTGTGCACAAATCTATGGAAAACTCAACATTTTTGTACGGCTTTTGTACGGCTATTTGCAATATCTGTGTTTGTATTTCATACCAGTGCGTCATCGAAGCCTATACGCCCAAAACCGAAACGCACGATCAGCAAATGAACGTTTCATTTTGTTCTACGCGTGCGCGTCCCTCCACTGCAGATGCTTTTCGCCGTGATGTTTTTGAACCGTCATGACGCGCTTAAGTTTGCATATCAATCCATCTATTTTGATTGTGTTCTGCAAAAACACACATAAGTTCAAAATGTCTGTGCCCAGAGCGGCTTCAAAGCGTCTCTGCGCGCAAGAATGAGGAGTTAGCACTCTAGTAATTTAATATAGCTCTACATGGCCCATGGGCACACATTTCGAAAACGTGTGCCCACGGGCACCCACTTAAAAAAAAGGGTGCACATGGGCACACATTTTAAAATCACCTTAAAGTTTAAGTTTCTTCCAAACAACACAATTTTAGGTGAAATCCTTTTGCAGGGTATTTGATACCAGTCCTGTATTCACTACGAGCAAGGTTTCTGATTTTTAATCAGTACGTATATTCTGGCGTGTCCATTTAAAATGGGGATGGGGCCTAAAAGAGCAAAGGGGCCTAAAAGAGCAAAGAGGCCTAAAAGAGCAAAGGGGCCAAGAATGGGAAACGACCTGTCAGTCTGACATGACGTTGTAGGAAAACGTCTGTTTTTAGTTGGTCTCTCCATCAGTTCATCAATCCATTTCTGTGTGTGGATGAAAAAACACCATATTATTTAAGTACACAAAAACAAATATTTAATTCATGCATTTACTCAATTACACTACTCTTTCCTATGGGCTCCATGCAGCAATACAGGGTGAGCAAAAAAAAAAGCGAAATGCAAATGTCCGGACTATTGTTTTAGTGAAGTTCTTCATGTAGCACTTCTAGGATAAGAAAGCCAAATTCATGTGCCTATTAAGCTTTCTTTTTAATAGCTGAAAGAACGTACACTTTTTGTGAACCAGGGACAGAACTTTAAAACGGTGGTTGTGTTTAAAATTCAGTAACTTAAAAAGTATGAGTGATTTAAATCATTCTTGTGCTAAAAGAAATCCTATGAATTGTGATTTATATCTTAGATTTTGAAGGTGCTTCATGCAGAACTTCACAAAAACAATAGTCCTGACATTTGGGTTTTGCTTTTTTTTTTACTCACCCTGTAATAGGTAGTGTACTGTTTCATACATTTTAACCACTTTTAAACATTCCAGTGGGGTTGAATATTTGTTGTTACTAATGACACCGAGCTACAATTTTGTTGCCGAACGACAATTCCAATCCTGACAGGAGCATGGTGCCTGTGTTCTTGGGCAAGATATTTTACTACAATAGTCTCTCTCCACCCAGGAGTATACATTTTGCAGGAACCTGTGAAGGTAGAGACCAGATTGTGCTGATTTGAGCCACTGCAGAGAAATGGTCACATGGCCTGAAGAACTGGGGTAATAATTGTGAAGTGCTTTGAGACCTTTGGTATATTAGCACTATATAAGCACCACCTTATTATTATTATTATCGATTTAATGTCTTCTTGTTAAGTTGAAAAAAAAATGACTAGAGCAGGGTTTGAACCTGCGACCTCCGAATTACCATTCCGTGCTCTACCATCTGAACTGTAATGTTTCATTTGAGAATGGTTGAGAATTAAAAATGTTGACCTCAACTTCCGCTCAATCAATCGACCCGATCACAATTAATCAGCTTAATTCAAATGCGGGAGTCTGTGACTATAGTCAGTGCTTGGATCCAAGACGCTCACTCTCTTACATACTCTTGGAGAGGTTAATAATTTGGTTGATGAAGTTAGCAATAATCTCTTACCAACTATATGTGTCAGTATCGTTAAATGTCCAGACCCCAATTCCATTTGTCAGGCACAGCACAGCGGTTGGAAGACTGCTCCCCACGCTGGTGTGATGAACATAGGCCTACAGTCAGGGAGGGGTATATCAGTCAATATTACAATACGACAGATTGCAAAAGTTGTCTAAGAAAACTTGAGAAAAAGCCTAGGAAATATCACTCGACATTCACAACTTGTCACGATCTTAAAGATCTGTAAAAGTCAAAGTACTTTTCCATGTACACAGCACGCAAAAAATCGTCTTCAAGTTGCATGCCGAGTAGTTGGTGCACAGGCACACAAGTTCCAGGAAGTGAAAATGTGCAGCATTAGAAAAATTGTTTGAACACAATAAAGTTACAACACTCTATAGCAAACATTGCTGCTATGGTGAGGGCACTTCTCTATCACTTCTATCACTTTCTGTCATAGAGCCCAGTGTTGTTGACTCGAGGGGCTGACTCGGACTCAAGGTGCTAATTTTTTTCACTTGAGACTTGACTTGATTTGGGAAAAAATGACTTGAGACTTGATTTGACTCAAATAAATTTGACTTGCTGACATTAACATGTTTCTTAAAGTTACAACAAAACACAAACCTCTAGGCATTAGCATAATCGGTTGAAAAGAATGCAGATATACATAGCGAATTAGCAACCAGCACGCGATAGCTGGGCATCCTGAGCCTGCCACAGGTCATGTACATGAATATCACTATGCATGTGTTATGGACACGCATCATACCCGACCTCGTGCATGGGAGGTAAAGTTTGTGCCATGCGTAGTCCGAGTACCATCCGTTATTAAAGAGCGGTCATTCCATAGAGACCATAGGCTACACGTACACATTGGGTGGTTTCAGTGTTCTACCCAGGCATTAGCGCTAGCACCCGCTACACTTTCGGATATAAGCGTTACGCTATAAATTTTGCTTGCAAAAAAAAATTGCTTCAAAAGTCAAATCACAAGTCAATCACAAAGTCAAATCACATGTCAAAATGTCAAATCGGAGTCAGTCCAAAGTGATATCAAAAAGTGAAACACATTTCAGTCAAAAAAAATTACTGAAATCATTATCTGCATTGCAGAATCTTACCTCAGGCTCTTGTCTTTTCCTCCTCTTTTCTCTCCTCCTCTTTTCTCTCGTCAAAAATAGAAGTTTAATTGCGTAATAACTGTGACTCTGAAAATTGAGCAAAATAAGTCAGAAATCAGATTAAATTTGACATATCAAATCACATGTCAACTGCAAAATCAGAGTCAGTCAAAAGTGATATCACAAGTGAAACACATTTACCTCAGGCTCTTGTATCTCCTCTTCTTTTCTTCTCTTGCCTTGTCTTGATCCTTCTGGATCTTTTCAGAGATGTTGTATACCTGTTGAATGACAAAACAGGTGTATGACATCTGGTGACAAAATTGACACTTTTGTTCAGCCTCCCTCCAGAACAACCTGCTTCAATGACTTTCCTTTCCTTTTGTTTATAGCGCCTTGAGCGCCTTAATAGGTGGATATGTGCGCTTTATAAATCTTCATTATTATTATTATTATTTACATGTAAGTCGGTCCCATTGGTTTAAAATATTTGCTAATTAGAAGAAAAGTTTGATAACATGCTGATGAGTCATTTACACTAATTGAAAGAATTGCAAACCATAAAAGGTAAAGGTAAACCATAAAAGGTCTATTGCTCTTCTATTTCACTTTCAATTCTCACCTAATGAAAGCCACAAAATAATTCATGAATTTCATCTAGTACGTCTGCATGTGTTTTAGATATTTTTGGAATCGAGAGATAATTTTCAGTATGAAACTTTTCTTTCATGTCAGGTGATCAGTTTCAATAAATTGATATTTTATAACAAATGAAAAATCAAACACTTCCGATCTCAGACTGTGCTCCGTGGTCATATATGGGTCGATGTAGCTGGCAGCCATAGGCGCCTTTACGTGCCAGCGGCCCAACCACGTTGTAGCCGCGTCCTTCGCAATTCAGCAAGCCAGCTGGGAGTAAGGATGATTAACCTCCCAAATTGTTATTATTATTTACAACGGCTTTTTGGGGGCAATTTCCTATAGAATTGAACCAAAAATAATTGCAAAATTTGCAAATTTTGCACGTTAGTTTTCCTATTCAAGGTTCCGGAAGAGTGCCAGCAGGGGTGAACTTTCAGGCTCTATATTTCCCCCCTACTCTGTACAAAAATCAGCTGACAGAAAGCTTTTGAACTTTGAACAGTAAACGAAAAAGCAATTATCTCCATCAAATTATAAAACGATAGCTTCATCAGTGGGGACGTGGGATAAATTGAGTGTAAAACTTACAAATTGAAGCTGCCCCGAGTTCCTTGGTCAGTTCCTGAGCACTAGCTGTCAAGCATGATGTTCACTGCCTCAGGGGTATTGATGGATCTGCATGGGTTGGCGTAGCCTACCGGTAGCTTTGCCTACAAATAAAATTGACATTTCCTACATTCTCTGATTTTGTACTGAGGCATACCCCCTGCTCATTATGCATCACTGAGTTCCAATCGTTTTGAAAATGCTACATACAAACCTTCTTGGGAAATTTTTGTAGAACATTGTGAACACAGCCAGACAAGTAGATTCAAAGGGAAATGCAATTTAATAAAAACATTTCACAAAACAGAATTGGTAATCTGAGTCATTCAGGAGTGAACACCTTGCATCTACATGCACACGCATCACAGGGAGTCAAATTCAGCAATCCGGGAGCTCAATTTAGCATATTTATGCTGTGTCCCCGAAAGTTCCTGAAAGCGACTCCTGACAGCATTGAGTATCGGCTGCTGCACTGTCTTGCCAACGATGTTCGAAGATGCATGAACCATGTCCTTGATGTTTGATATGCAACTTGCAATGCGACACAAGATCACAATGGAAATCCTGTTTTGTTCATTTTTCTTAAAATAATCATTGAAGCTACTTGTCTTTAATTTTACATGTTCACAAATACCAAAACTGTACAGAAAGTTCATAAATACCATTTTCAAACAATGGAACTCACTGATGCATGAGCAGAGGTAGGCATTGATCAGTACAAAATCAAAGAATGTAAGAAATTGTCATTTGTAAGAAATTACAATGAAATCTCGATAAGTCAAACCTCAAGAGAACAGGTTCAAAATATTTGACTTCAGCAGAGGTTTGAGTAAAGCAAAGTTGTATATCACTTCTGAAGGCAATGGATTCTTTGTTTGCCTTAACAGTTCATTCATTCTTTATTTTCCACATTAATTGGTGTCTACGCAATACATGTATAATTATACGAAAAGAAAAGTAAATGTGGAAGGTGGTCCCCAAGAAGCAACTGCTTGTCGAATATTAATCAACAATTACATTTTAAAACACTAAATACACATACAATAAGACAGTAAACTAAACCAGAAAGGACGGTAAGTCTTGTAACCCTGTGAAAATATGTAAATGAGTGGACTAAACAGAGATTGAATACCCAGTTAGTAGTATGGCCTTATGTTTTTGTTTCAATAATGGAAGATTCCATACATTTTTTAGAGAAACATCTAGGGAATTCCACAGCTTGGGACCCTCATGCTTGACTGTATTTTGGGCGAGAGTGGTACGAGCAAAGGACTGATGATATTTGTTACACTGTTGATTGGCTGCCCCCCAAAGCTCCTGAAGATGATTACATCCTTTCATGACGACATGACTGGCACGGTTCAGTATAACGGATCATCCTCGGACCCTTTCCCAATCAAGAGCGGTGCGAAGCAAGGGTGTGTCCTGGCCCCGACACTCTTCGGCGTGTTCTTCTCCCTGCTGTTGCGCTTTGCCTTTCGACAGTCTGAAGATGGCATCTTCCCCCACACTAGGAGTGACGGGAACCTCTTCAACCTGGCCCGCCTTAAAGCAAAGACGAAGGTGCGCAGAGTGCTCATAAGGGAGATGCTCTACATGTATGCAGACGACGCCGCCCTTACTGCCCACAGCGAGGATGCTCTCCAGCGGCTCATCACTCGCTTTGCGGAAGCATGCTCCGAGTTCGGCCTCACCATCAGCCTGAAAAAGTCTAACATCATGGGCCAGGATGTCAGTAGCACTCCCCAAATCACCATCGGCGACCACACCCTGGAAGTGGTTGACAAGTTTACTTACCTCGGCTCTACCATCTCAAGCAACCTATCCCTAGACGCCGAGCTCAATGTGCGGATAGGAAAGGCAGCAACTGCAATGGCTCGCCTGACAAAAAGAGTATGGAGCAACACCATGCTGACAACCAACACAAAGATGAAGGTGTACCAAGCTTGTGTTCTGAGTACCCTTCTCTACGGTAGCGAAGCCTGGACACTGTACTCCTGCCAAGACCGCAGGCTGAATGCTTTTCACATGCGCTGCCTTAGACGACTCCTGGGTATCACGTGGGTGTGCTCAGCATGTTCGCCATTTTGACTCAGAAATGGTTGCGCTGGTTGGGCCATGTCTGCCGCATGGACGACGGACGCATCCCAAAAGACGTTTTGTATGGCGAGCTTGCCATAGGGACTCGGCCAAGTGAACGGCCCACCCTCCGCTACAAAGACGTCTGCAAACGTGATCTGAAGGTATGCAGCGTCAGTTCAGCGGACCTAGAATCAGCGACATCAGATCGCGCCACCTGGCGATCTACTGTCACAGCGGGGGTCCTGCAAGCCGAAGAGAGGAGGAAGAGTCAGTGGGAAGAAAGGAGGACCCGCAGGCGGCAGAGGCTTCAGGCAGCTCCCATCGCCACCACCACCAACTACACCTGCAGCAAATGCCAAAGGACCTGTAGCCGCACAGATAGGGCGTAAAGTTTTTCAATGGCAACCATGAAATCCCATAACTTGAGAGGATGTAGCCTGTCAGCACATAATTTCTATAGTATACATTTACTGGTATGTCATCGGTTGCCACTACAGCCAAAACATTACACATACTCATTATTGAGCTGCTTGGTGCAGATATAATGAAATTCATATTGCCAAAAATGGTTGTATTATTTTATTATGTGATTGACTCATGATACAATTCATTCCAGAAAACCAAACTGCACCATTTAATTGAGACATCTTCACGGTTGCAGCTGCAAAAAATGCCTTGAGATTTATATTTTTAACCGAACAACCCACTGCCCCTACTTCAGAGGCAAAAATAGTCAAGAAAACCTTGTAAATGGTTACAATGAAAGTATTACTGGTGGAGTTCAGGATTTATGGAAATTATTAACATTTTTGTACATTACTGGTAGTGGTACAATTATATTTCCTGTAATTTTTGCATTTGTTTCTATTTAGATATTATTAAACGTTTCTTTACAATCGCAATAAATAGTCTGGTGCAAGTTCACTTGATTTTGAGGTAATCAACTTGCTTGTTCCTGTTTGTAATTTATGTAACTAATTGAAGAGTTCATTCGAAGAGAAGAGAAGAGAAGAGAAGAGAAGAGAAGAGAAGAGAAGAGAAGAGAAGAGAAGAGAAGAGAAGAAAAGAGAAGAGAAGCAAGAGTCAAGTAAGTTTACCATTGTTTACCAATTCATACAAACAGAATTTGTATGAATTTTTGTAAGAATTTGTATGATTTTTTTTTTGGACAGAGCTGGGGGGGGGGGTCTTGACCCCCAGAACCCCTCCCCCCCCCCCTCTGGATCCGCGCCTGAAAACAGAGTTTATGAATCATTAGTAATCTGATCCGTCAATTCCATTGAGAAATACAAAAATCTCAATAGTTCAATTGTGCTCTCCCTACAACACCTGTTTGAGTTTCACCTGCACTGTACTAAAGCACCAATCAGAGAAGCGACAATAACCCTCTTGATTTGTATGATAAAGCATTTGAAATATGATGTTCGAGTCGCCACGCCCTAAATTTCACCATATGGGTGTTAAAAATTGCATTTTGTGGCCAATATTATTCCTCAGTACCTGCACAGAAAATAGACATGGCGCCCAGTGACATTTCAGCCTAGTATATAAAGGTAAACAAAATCACTCCTTTAAGGACCTTTGGGTTTTTTGACCTTGTTGAAACATGGAGGAATGATGAAGGTAAAGAAAACACATGCAGCTAACCGTTGATTCACCCCAAAGATACTGGGGGTGCGCACTGGTAAAATGGCCAAAACCCATCCGCCGAGCTCTTTATTCACCATACCCCAACATGGAATTTGAAATATGGGGGTGGCCATCCACCCATCACTGCATGTGGTCTATATATCTTTTCTTAAAAATTCCAGAAAGAAAAGAACAAACATTAAGAAAGATATCAAAGCCATCAAACGTAATTTTAATTTGAGGTTTGCCCATCACCGACAAAGTATTAATAAGATATGTGTGCTCAGTGCGGTCCGAGAACTTCAGGGGAAAAAAAATCATAATACTTGTGCTTTAGTGGGACTTGAACCCACGACTTCCTGCTTAACCATGCAGACATTTTAACCACTCGACCACCGAGCTTACCGGTTTCGGTACTCCTGACTCGAAAATTAGACAATCACAGACTTGTGAGATTTTTCATAAGTTGGCATTATATTTCTCCCAAAGAAATATAAAAAAGGAAGAATATCTCCGGTTTATACTTGCATTTTACGAAAATCATTTCATTTGCAAATCACCTTGTGGAATGCCATTAAAGCTGTTTCATATATGAAATCGTAGCGTTGTTTATGCAAATCACTTCGCAGAAATTTTCAGTGATGAGGCAGCTAGCTAGGCGCTTTCCAAAATAACTGGTTCGCGGCGCAAGATGCTTTTGATAATAGAGGGACCAGGGACCATGTGCTTTTTTCACGCATTCGGAGAGAAAGAAGATACGAGCAGAGAGTCAAGTAAGTTTACCCGGCATTTTTGGCCTAAGAAAACATAATAATTCCCCCTCAACCTTTTGAAGTCACTGTATTATAATTGTAGGGGCTAAGGTACTTCTGAATTTGGTGCAGTTGAAAACTGTTTAATTTATGTTCAACTTTAAAAAGGAAAAAAAAGGAGGTCTGACGTATGTTAATTTTCAGGCAAATGTGTAGGAATTTTAGACAGCCGAGTCTTAACAAAGTCAAGAAAAGAACTTGGATTTTTTCCCTTAAAGTGACTCTTTTGGGCAGTTTTGAATAATAGGCCTATTGTTTCCGCTAAAAATGCAAACTTCAAAACAACAAACATCACCATAAGAATAAAAAAAAATCTACCCCAAAGTAGGCAAAGTATGTTCTATTTTTATGAGCGGAAGGCTACGAGCTGTGATTAGGCACTTTCCACAATCACTGGTTCGCGTTGTCCAATGCTTTCGAAATCGCAGCCAGGGACGCGGGACCAGGGACAATGTGTCTGCCAAACGAATTCGCACAGATTCATTATACGCGTTTATGAATTGGCGGCAAAATACAATTAGGCTAGCATTGCACGTGTCTAGTTTGAGCGAAGATAATCTGAAGGTGACAGTCAAAAACGTCAAAGTAACTTTCCACCTTGTTTTATTTTTACCTAAAACGTGAATATTTGTGTAAACACATTTTGTGTCAACACTGTGACAAGTCAAATTCAATCAGCAGGCTGAAAGTACACTTCGTGAAATGAAATGAAATACCGACCGAGCACATATTTATTCCCATTCATAAATACCTTTTCGGTAAAAAATATATCAAATAATTTGTTCAAAAAATCCCAATTTTGTTCAACAAGTTATTTCATGCTTTTTAAAACAGCCTTCTAGCAAAATAATGGAGTGTTCAGCTGGCGAGTAAGATGTAAACAACCCTTTTATGGAGATTGACGCGCGCGTAGCATGTTCAGCGCGATGTCGCGCAGAACGCACCTGGTGCGTTGTGTTTTGAATTTAGAACAATACAATTCTGACTCGCTGGTAGTACGTGAGGATTGTGAATGTTCAACCAATGAAACAGTAAGAGGCACTGGATTTTTAGGAGTCCACATTTTATTGTCACACTGAAAAAATATTTAAGACCAGCTAGCCATGTCTTTATCATCTTTTTAAGACCGGCCACGTGACGGGCTCTCGACGAATAATCATGAGCTAAACTGTCTGAGGTATTAAATTAAAATGGTTCTAAGACCCAACAAGACTAGTTTCTGCCCAAATGCAGCGCTTCATCAGTAGTAAGTAAGCCAATGCTTTTTATTCAGCTAAATTCGTGTCAAATGTTAGTGCATAGGGGTGTGCATTTTTGATAGGTAGTACAGGAACCAGGTACCCATTAAAAGAAACCGCAATCTCGGAACTTGCTGTTCAGATTGTTCATAAAGAGCTGCACGCTAATACTTCCCCATATCGTTGCGCCAGAATGCAAGTTACAAATGTATGGTCTCCATGTGTTAACTAAAAGAGGGCAAGCTATTACCACTTCTGAGAGCCCCTCCCTTGGGATGGGACACTGCGTGTGTGCACTGTGCACTGTGCATGAATCATATTCCGTGAACTGTAAAAGCAATTTACTTGCCATCGACGTGAAAGGGAAGTAACAAGCAAATTAATGCACAATTGTTTTCAGTTAAAAAAACAAAAAAAACAAAGTGAGATGGTTATACATGTAAATCCAAAAGCTCAATCCATCCACATCTCAAAATGAGCAAACGTGTTGGAAATTGTGCTAATATACAGATACACTCAATGGACAAATCTTTTTGATCACGTGTTCATCGTGGCAGCATTGACAATAAAAATATTTATCAGCTGCATCTTCACGTGCAGATGAAGTTGCCAAAGATGTGTGCCTTTTAAATAAAAATCATAGAAATAAAAGCTAATTCAGAACAATTACATTGTAAAACAGTCGTTTTCAACAGTTTCATTTTATGTATATATAGCCTAATGCAATTTCGACTGACCCACTGACCCTCTTTCAAGGCCAAGTAAATATGAGAACCCTAGGATTAACAGACACAATCTGAACGGATACTTTTACAATTGGCTTTTTTTCTAGACAAGGCGTCCATCATGTTGTGAATCAGTGGTGTTATTTGATATCTTTCTCATTTTGGAATTGCAAGGAAAAAATATAAAATGCTACATAGGCTGGCAAAAAGAGTCCATGTGCCATTCAGCATATCCCTGGCCCTGGGTTCATCCATTCATATCTCTGAGAGGGGTTTCATCGACTGCACTCAACATGTCCCTCAGCTGCTGTAGAACTTTAACTTCCACGACAATAAGTCTCTCAAACAAGTCATATTTTCATACGTTATTTTAACTTCACAAGGAAAATGAATCCTCTTCGCATTTTATCAGTATTGACTTACCATTTTTTGACTGACGTCATCAAAACAGAAATAACTTTTTTTGCGCACCTAGAATGTTTACTGAAATTGATCACACCATTAAAGATTCATTTTTGTAACAAAATAATTGATTGTACTGGATGGGATTTAATTTTGTGGTTCTTTGTTAGAACTACATCAACATATTCCTTAAACTGGGCAGTGCATAATGAAAAGGCTGTTCGCCCGACCACTCTGTGTTTGTAGCTCGACAAACACGAACCTCTAGTGAAATATCTATATTTCTCATTTTGTTATTTACTTTCAGCCAGAGTAGGAGGGAGGTGAGGAAGTCATGGTAAGTGAAATAAGTAAAAGAAGTATTTTTTTTTTATTATTCTTTAGTTGATATATATTCAACGTGTACGTACTGTACATGTAATTCGCAAGCAAAGTACGCACAACTTTTTTAATCCTGAATGTGCACAAAGGCAAGCCACAGTGTCTTCGCGCGTGAGCATCAGGAGTCGGACTTTGAATACGTTCAAAGACTTGCGATGGTCTCCCAGACTAATCCCCGACCCTAATAACTTAGGATTACTCAAAATACGCAGTGGGTGAATCCTCGATTTACACCATAAACAAATGGTGTGTACACGTACCGGTAGGCCTACATGAGTGTTTAAGAAATGTGCTTACCGACTATACTTGAACGTGTTTTTTTTTATCGGCAATCGTTCTTACCAAGGTTAAGTTAGCAACATTTTGAATTGCAAGGAAAAAAAATAAAATGCTACATAGGCTGGCAAAAAGAGTCCATGTGCCATTAAGCATGTCCCTGGCCCTGGGTTCATCTATTCATATCTCTGAGAGGGGTTTCATCGACTGCACTGAACATGTCCCTAAGCTGCTGTAGAACTTTAACTTCCACGACAATAAGTCTCTCAAACAAGTCATATTTTCATACGTTATTTTTACATATCACAATGAAAATTTATCCTCTCCGAATTTAATCAGTATTGACTTTACAAGTCAATGATTAGGCCTAATGGTACTCGTCATGAGGGAATGCAACGTTTGCACTTCATGCATGCACGATTCAGTCTTCGACGTGGCCACCATTTCTTTGCACACAGACTTCTGCCCTCTTCAGCATGTCAATGATTTTCGTCATTATCGTCCTGGCAGAAGAAATGGACAATTTAGGCGTGCCTGGTGGGTGCAAGATGGGGCACCACTGCACAAGAGGAGGATCGTGACTGAACGTCTCACTGAATTGTTTGGCGATCGCTTCATCGCATTAAAACCGGCCCATCTAGTGGCCCCCAAGATCGCCCGATCTTACCCCATACTGGACTTTTTCTTGTGAGGCCATGTTAAGTCTAAGGTGTACACCACTCCACCAAGAGACCTGGATGACCTGCAAGAGCGTTCTACTGCCGACGTTGCTGTTGTGAGGCAGGATGCCGCAATGATTAGGTGGCAGTTTATGACATGCTGAGGAGGGCAGAAGTCTGTGTGCAAAGAAATGGTGGCCACGTCGAAGACTGAATCGTGCATGCATGAAGTGCAAACGTTGCATTCCCTCATGACGGTTACCATTAGGCCTAATCATTGACGTGTAAGGTCATGCTGTTGTTAATGTTTTGAGGAAGGCGCAACTTGAGTGCAAACTTGGTGGGCCTGTGGAGGACTAACGATTAATCCAATTTTCATGAAAGTTTGTGAGCAACAAAACACATGCCTAAACTTCCCTACCACGGTGTTTGATTATGTTTTAACCATTTCACTTTTGTGCGCAAGCCAATTCAAATCTAGTGAAAGTAAATAGCTAGTGTGCACTCATGTGGAACAGGTGAAGATCGACATGGTGGCAATTGAATCGTAAGACCTTGGGTCCATAAATATTTAGTGACAGATTTTTGAAAAATTATAAAACATCCTTTTTTGATACATTTCTCTAACTGTATACTTTTTTTTTGATACACCCTGTATGTCATTATAATTGATTGCCTGCATGTTTGTGTGTCATAAAATTAAAGTGGGGATCGTGGAGTGAGGAAGAAAGAGCAAGTTTATAAGATCAGAGAGGAGTTATACAAGAGGCAGAAATCAGTAGTAATAAGTATTCATTATTTGTAGAAAGGAAAAAGAAGAAAGGAAAAGCGCATAGCGACACAACAGTAGAGAAGATGGCTCTCAAGTGATCTGTAGGAATATATACATTAGGATTTATATGCCTGCATTGGAAACTTTAGGAGTGCCCAGTACAGTAATGCACCTGATGCAGGAGCACCTCACTAATATAATGACATATTAAAGCAAATAAGTCATTTGATGAATGTCACTTGAGTCATTAAATATCTTTTACACTTCAATAACAATGTGAAATACAATAGGTCCAGACATCCCTTCATAAGGTGATCTGTGCGCAGAATATCCTAGATGAGGTGATCTTTGATCTGGCCTGTCTCTTGATCAGATGATGAGATGATCAAGTAACCTTTGATCAGGCCTGTCTTTTGATCAGGTGATCCTTGATCCGTTGGTCTTTAATCTGGCCTGTCTTTATCAGGTGATCCTTGATCAGGTGATCTTTGATCGGGCCTGTCTCTTTATCAGGTGATCCTTGCTCAGGTGATCTTTGATCGGGCCTATCTCTTGATCAGGTCTTCCTTGCCTGCATGTTGTGTGTCATAAAATCTGATATATAATTCCTCCTTGTGTGGTTGTGTGGCAATACTGCCTTGCAGTATATTCTCTGAAACATATTTTGCTCCCCTGGCCTTAAAGCTAGACCACTGAATAATGAGGCCAGAATTTTATTGGCAACCGCTCTGGGCCACCACACAAGGTGTCAGAAGTGGGATAAGTGATAGTACACATGAAATGACAGGAATCAGATAGGTTGGCACCCCTTAATAATTAAGGGTTAATTATCTGATTGTGAATTATGTATAATTCAAGAGGTAATACATTATTTTCACACAATCAAACTGACTTGTTTTTCTTGACTTTTCAAGCAATATCGTTAGCCTTCACCAGAAGTTGTAATTGTCTGGCCATTAAGTTGGCGCGAGCCAGTCACAGGTCCCACACATGGCTCTGCATGAAGCTTCCCTCGTCCCTGTTCATGTTCTCAGTTTTCCTAATCCAGATTGCCTCTTTCATTCACTGTGTAAATCAACTGTTTCTCTGTCTTAGACTTTGCTTAAGTCCTATAATCTAATGTTTGCTTTTCCTGCGATGCATGCCATTACAGCTTTGCTCTGGGTTTTCGTTTATTTCCTATGTGACACCATATCAACATCTTTCTGATGTTTTTATATAGTTTCATCACAGTTTTCTCCCCATCTCCTCTATATGGGTGGCATGGTTGGCTTGTGCGTAAAGCGCTCGCCTCTCACCAAGGTTACCACGGTTCGAATCCTGGCCGCTGATCGCATGTGAGTAGAGTTGTGCGTTGGTTCTCTCCTGTGCCACGTGGGTTTTTCTCCGGGCCCTCCGGTTTTCCTCCCTCCGGAAAAATCAAACACTTTCGATCTCAGGCTGTGCTCCGTGGTCATATATGGGTCGATGTGGCCGGCAGCCCAAGGTGCCTTTACGTGCCAGCGGCCCGACCACATTGTAGCGGCGTCCTTCGCAATTCAGCATACCAGCTGTGAGTAAGGATGATTAGCCTCCCAAATTATTATTATTATTATATACACTGCGTTACTACTGTGGTGTCACGTGGATCACATCTATCCTTAGAGTGCATCAGAAATTGCCTTAAAGTTGCAACTGGTATGCTGCTGTGGGCAGCCTCCTTTTCAGATGCATCTTTCAACAGTTTCAGTGACCCATCCAACGTGTGGTAAGACAATCCATGTTGAGACTCCACTTGGTTTTATGTGTGTTTGGGGGCACATTTCTACCATTGAAGAGTGACACGTCTGAAAGACCAATCAGGGAACATGCTTCTACCAAATGCTGGTCTGATTTTATTGTTTTCTTTTGTTGTCATCCTCTTCAGAAATGATGTTGTCTTTTCAGTCAGGGAGTACCTGTTTATTCACATATAGTTTTTGATTGAGAGCGTGAATTGAGTTGAAGCACAGGTACTGATCCATGTGGTTCTTCTTACAGTATATCTCTCTCTGTATATCTCTCTCATGATATCTCTCTAAGTACCCTCATCCCTCTTAGTGACTATAGCATGTCCAATAAAGGAAAAATGCCTTCCTACTCCTCCTCATAGTATAAACTTGATGTTCCCTGTTTTATCTATGGAGTTGAGGAGGCATGTAAGGCAATTGGCATTCCAATTTCTATATATTTGTGAACATGTCATCCGCGTACCAGTTGATGGTGCCATATAGTCCAAAAATTGGATGATCTGCTGATAGATTTGTCCCGTCTGGTAGTGTCTCATGATTCTCTAGTCTTTTCTGATGATGTGAAGGAGTTCAGGAATCGCAGTAGTAGTGGACAGTGATAGTACATCATGAAATAGCATCATCTGATTTGCTTCTATCCTGGTCTTTGTTATAGCTGCTTATAAAAGTCCTGACAGAGTTTTCCCACTGAAAGAGAATGGAGGTTGGCTAATCTCCTGGACATGACGGATCCCAGCTCCATTATAGGGGTTCCTGGTTTTGTATATTTTGGTGTGCAGTAGATTCTTGGAATGTTCGCTAGAGTTCGGTGCAGGTGGTCAACACTGTTCATGCGAAATCTTGTCTTCCTCTAAGTTTGTCAGTAACTCAATCAGTCTCCGATGTAGGGAGTTTGCCGAGTTTCACATTGGCCGTTTCATCTGCCAGCATTCTGAACACATGTGTTAATCTGTCTTGTCCACCGGAACTGTTGCTTTCCTTTTGCTGGTAGAATGATGAGAGACGATTCTCTCTTGAGTTTGTTTATGGCCTCACATACTTCCTTTGTAATCCTTGATTTAGGGAGCTTGGTTTCATAGATAAGCTGGTACTTCTGATCTCAATTGTTCTGCTTTTGGAGTAGACAGCGTTTTCCATGTGAATTCAGTTGCAGCAACGCACTGTTGTTTACAGCATACTTTAGATCTTTTACCAAGATCTTTTTTATTGTGTATCTAAAAAGATGCTAGCAGTGTCCTGTTTATACCCAAGCTCTGTCTTGCAGATTAATAGTTTGATTTACAAGATGGATAAAAGAAGCAATCTGGATTAGGAAAACCGAGAACATGAACAGGAACTAGAGAGCTATGCATAGAGTCACGTGCGGGACCAGTGTCTGGTTCAGGTCGCCGACAATGGCCGGAAAGGAACCAACTTCAGATGAAGAGCAACGATTAGCTTGAAGTGTCAAGACAAAGCA